TCTCTGGTGGGTCTAATCTTATCCCAGAGTGTGGTAATTAATAGTTTATCAGATAATTTGATAGTTTGGATTACTCATGTGTCAGACTTGCAATACCAGGAACACGGTCCCTGTGCATTCGTTTCAGCACAATTTTCAGCACCAAGGGGTGACAAATAGCCTGTAGCAATGGAGGCATCATCTGCCTTTGAACTGCTCTGTAAACATAGCAGTCCTCATATTTTTCGACAGTTTTGTTTAAGGCAGGCATCCCAGAAAACCTTGCGGTTCACTCAAGCATCACAATTTCACACACAATATCTGACTATGCTTATTAGGACACTTTTTTCCCAAATTCTTGCTCTATATTTGAAATAAAAAATCAGCAGGGTGTTAGATCTGTGAAGTAATTTCATTCTGTCAGTTATTCTTCTCCTAATGAGCACGACTTATCTTTGGTCTGATCCAACACCAGCCGGAGCTGTGAGTCCTTCCTGCTGCTCGCAGTGTCATCAGCTCCGATGACTTTACACTGCACCAACCTGCAGGCACTTGTTGAAGTAATTTGGCTTTGCAAGGCTAAATTCTGGTCTTACAAGCATATTTAGCTGTATGCCTAAATTGAAGTTCTGACTGAACTCTGTTCTTGGTTCTCACTATGCTTTGTGTATGGCCACAAGATTTTTCTATGCCTTTTGCTCACTAATACTGTAAACTCATTTTATGAGTGTGTTCACAGAGCACCTGGAAGCAATTTGTTACCCTCCTGGCTGGTAATTTCTGTCTTCAGCCTGAAATATATCTTAATTTACACTGATATGTGAATATTGTTACTTCTATGCTAAACTATGTAAAATGCTAGACCATATAAAACTGTTTTTTGAATAAATTGTGGGGTGTTTGTCTGATGTGAGAAGAGAATTTGATGGGACGTTTATTAACAAAAGTATTAGAACTGCCTGTTGTACTCTCCCTTTAAAAAAAACTCTTATCCAGTGAATAAATCTTCAAGGGGAAAAAAAAGTCCCTGTAAGCGTTTGGGGCCAGGTTCCTCAGAACAGTCAGGGTATTCCAGTACGTATTATCTTGTGAGCTGGAATTTCTGCAAACTGTTTCTCCCTTGAAAAGGAAAAGGCATCAGATTTGAGTTTGCATCCAGCTGTGCCTTTGCTTGCTGCACCTCTGAGAACAACAAAGGGCAGAGGACACCAATTTCTTCACGCTTCAAACCCGAAACACTCCTCCTGTCAGGATAAGGACATGGTGGTCCTGTCCCATAGTCCCAGGAGTTCTTCTGTCTCAATCCCACAGGCAGATGAAGCTCAAACCAAAGCGTCTGGGACCATTTTACTACATTAATTACCTTTTAGAGTTTCCAAATATCAGAGGACAAAAGAACAGTTAGAGCAGAGAAAGATGAAATCTGCTTCATTTTGCATGTTGCTGAGAATGCATTGCTCTTTCACCCTCCTGCTGACATATCTGTATTTTTAACACCTCACAGAGATGTTCAAAAACTGGGGTCCTGCAGCCGGAAATCCTATCTCTCTCAGTCCATGAAGAATGAGTGGAAACTGGCAAAAATTGCTTTTGTGGTCATCATTGTGTTTGTCTTGTCCTGGTCTCCATATGCTTGTGTCACCTTGATTGCCTGGGCAGGGTAGGTAGAAACATAATCTAAAAAGCATGGATTATTCTGAAATATAAATATGTGTTATTTTTACCCACAAGAAACAGATCTCCCTTTTGAAAGGCTTTTAAATAGTTATTACAATAGAAGTGATATTGTTTGCTTCACTATATCCTTGTGGATAAATCCAGGAAAGGGATTATTCGTCCATGTGTTTTAAAATTATTATGACTTTCTATCTGCATTTTTGGTATACATTGTTTCCTCATTGTTGCTTCCTCCATACACTGCTGCCTCTGACAGAGGGCAGAAAAGAGGTTAAATTCCCACATCTCCACCCCTGAGCTCCTGTCTTCCTGCAACCACTCTCCGCTCCAAAGGGACCTGTTGTCTTCTCATTACATGTTCTTGATTCCAAGGTCAGGTTGGGCAGGGCTTTGAGCAACCTCACCTAGTGAAAGACGTCTCTGCCCATGGCAGGGGAGGTTGGATTAGATGATCTTTAAAGGTCCATTCTGACTCAAATCATTCTGTGATTCTATGATATTGGTTATGATTATCCTGCACAACGTTGATCACGTGTGCAGGATAATGTGACTGTGGGACCTTAAGAGGAAAATATTGATTTCAAACCACTTCCAGTCCTCTCTTCCTTCTGCAGCATTTGCAACTGAGTCATTGACATGGCTGTTGCTGCTGAAAGATTTTTAGGTTCAATTCTGATTTCTTTTTTATCATCATTCCATTTTTCAAGATGGTTACAAATGGAATTGTTTTGGGTTTTTTTTGCCTAGCATAGAAACAGAGAAGGTGGCTCTTTGTGTTCCTGGTCATGCTCAAATAGATAACTAATTAATTGCATGTTTTTCATCTTCTCCAAATGAATGAAACCAAGTACACACTGCCAAATGCAAGCCTTTCATCAGAGCAAAGACTGCATTTGAATGAATTAACATTTCAGGGGTATTTCTTATCAAGAGATCACAGCACAAAAACAGTCAAAAAGAGTAATATGCTTTAGTAATTGAGTATTAATGCATGGCATAACTGCATGTAATGTTTTTGCTTTGTTTTAGTCGAGGCAACACCCTAACACCATATTCTAAATCTGTGCCAGCAGTTATTGCCAAAGCTTCTGCAATCTACAACCCCATCATCTATGCAATAATTCACCCAAGATACAGGTACAGTAAACTTATAGGTATGTGTATAACTGTTCATGCAAATGTGTTTTTTACAATGGACAAACCACCCCCATTCCTTCAGGCTCACCTCGTGCAGCGCGTGCTTGTGCCCTGACCGCCCCATGATGGAATCCAGGTGGTCAGACCCAGCACTGTGTCCACCTGGTACAGGGCAGCCCAAACTGCACGTGGAGCTCCAGAAGTGGCCTCAGGGGTGGCCAACAGAGGGGAATGGTCCTTCCCTTCACTTTCCTTTCCCCTTACAACCCAGCTCTGTCTTGTGGAGCCTCACAACACTGTGACTGACCATAGGAGGAGACAGTGCTCGGGTTATCTTTTGCCATATCAGGGTCATTTGCTAAATAGCGCTCTCTGATTAATAGACCCCATCCAGCGAGGCTCAAAAATCGCATCATCACCAATTTCAGAAGCTATACATGCGTATGTTTGAAGTTTGGTTTTCTGAAGCACTTAAGTTATTCTCTTCAGTACTAATGTAAACAAGTTGCGGGTCTTTGAGAGAAGTTCTGTGAGGAGTAAACAGCATTTTCATAGAAGTTCTGTGCACAGCAAGAGCTGTAGAAAGCCATAATCGAGACAGAGATCCCTGCAAATGAGAGAGGTTTTCCAATACTGCTTTTTCAGTAGCAGGCTTGCTAACTTGGGTCAACGAGTTTTTGCCTTCAAAAAATACAGCAGATGCTTCTGAAATACTCTGAGTAAAGAAGTCTCTTCTGAAGGTTGTTTTCATATTTGTTTCATTTAGTCATTTCAGGGAAAAGACTTTCCATTCTCTACCTTTTTAAAAAATATTATCTTTGACTTAAGTTTGACACTACACTAACAGGGTTCATTTGGCAAAATGTAATGTTGATAACTTCTCTGAAACTGCAGATATGAAATATTTCTGAACCTATGCCTTCATAAGCAAATTATACTACACTTTAATTCTATTTGTTATTACAGATGTTAATTACTGTGCATTTTAAAACAGAACACTGTGGCAACCCAGCAGAATTTCACTAACAAAATCTCAAACATTATTCAGTCTCAATAAGCTGCATGGTTAGCCGATCTTTGGTGCCTTTTTATTTCCTTCTCAAGTCTCTCACAGCCAGTGAATGAGTTTCTGAGCTGAAAGGTATGAATTCTGCTTTATATCTTGGCCCTCTGACTGCAGTAAGGTAAGGGGTAGAGAGCATAAAGATAACTTGTTCCCAACGAGTAGATGATTAGAAAGGTAACAATGTGTTGCACAAAAAGATTTCCATACTGTCGCGCTGATGAGAAACCTACAACACTAAGTGAATATAATGATAATCTAATATACCATAATAGACACTTCTTCAAAGAATCAGAAACATTTCCTTCTGCAGAAGAAGGTCCATTATCATCTCCTTTAATAACTTCTTTGAAGCATCCTTATTGGTCTCCAGAGACCAGCTCAGCCTTCCCCAACATTTAGGAACTCACAGCAGTATACTTGAAAGAACCTATACCTCGCGCAGAAGATACAGCTCAGAGCTTGTAATTTCCTCGTGTACCTGTAGATGTGTTTTTGAAACATTAGCATTGAAAAATACTTCATTATATAAAAGAAGACATGCCTGTTACAGAACTGCTATTCAGCATATCTCTAGATTTTTGTGCAAGTCTTTCAAAGCATATCTACCACAAAGGGACGCTATGTCAAAAGTTTGGACGAAACACAGGGATGCTGTGGTGATAAATATGATAAATGTATAAATGCCACTAGATGGCAGCGTTAGTCGTCAGTATGAGGTTTGTCTCACCCAAAAAGTGGAAAAGCTGCTAAACTACATTGTCTGAAAACTAGGATTTGGGAGCTGGAAATTGAATTCATTGTTTGAATGTCTGATAAATGATGATGTGATTGTAAGAATAGTTGAAGTTTCTCAGAAGGCTGGTGGAAATACACCCAGAAATGGTGAAAACGTGTATTTTGTTTGAAAATGTCTGCTATCGTAAGCAATACCGTTTTGCATCCTTAAAAACCTTGAGTCCATTTTATTTTTTGAAGGTTGCAGAGCATTTTAATTTAGAATAGGAGAATGACTAGTCTCTGATGGCTGGCAGAAGTTGAACGAGAAGTTTTGCATGGCTGGCTGACACATTATCAACATGGTGTTTTTTTCTGATCCAAAGCCACTGTGTTCAGTGATTTCTTATATTATTTTTGCAAGGTCAAGTGAGTGTTTTCAAAGCAGATACTATATAGTGAGCTGCTTTGATTAATCTTTTTCTTAACAACATCGGCTTTTCTAAGTAAAACTGTACTAAGAAAAAGGCTGGAGTCCACAACAAGATTTCAGACACTCTCTTAAAAAGTGTTTTGTTTTATTTTTCCCCTGCTTCCTCATTTGTATTTCTAGACATATCAACAGGAGAAGTGTTTATGGAGTTGTTGTGAAGACATTTAATAGACTTGGGAGTCATCCAGTCAGGAAAAGAAGTAATATTGGGTCCCTCATGATGAATCAAGCGTGCAGTTTTAAAACTGAAAAAGCAGCTACAGTACACTAGCAAGTCAGCTGGTGAAAATATGTTGGCCGAATCAATTTTGCTTGAAGAGTGAATAATGAATATGTATGTAAAGATCAGGTTTTCTGGATAATTTCCAAATCTTCTAATAATTCAAGTTATGCCTTGAAAGTAATTTATTCAATGACGGATAAACGGGCCAGCCTGTTCAGGCCCAAGACTTAAGGGTTTAGGCAGGGGATTAATTGCCATTTTGTATTGGAACTACTGAACCAAGTTAAATCTAAGTTATTTTCCAAATCTTTATAGAAAGAGGCGTGTAGATATCAGGATGTAAAGAGTTCAGATATGGCTCAAACCAGTGATGTACCACTACCATAGCAAGATGCTTTTTCGCACAGAGAGTTGCTGTCACTGCGTCTTAACACCCCAGCAAATCAGATCAGTCTTTTTGTGGGATTTCGTTACCTTAAGCAATGAAAAAGTAAAAAGGTGCATTACAATGATTGTAAATGAAAATATTATGTTGTGGTTTAGTCCAGCTGGCAACTAAGCACCACACAGTCGCTTACTCACTCCTACCCCTTGGTGGGCTGGAGAGGAGAAAATACAGCAAAAGGCTCAAGGGTCGAGACAAGGACAAGGAGGGATCGCCCACCAATTATGGTCACAGGCAAAACAGGCTCCACTTGAGGACAAATCAGTTCAATTTGTTACCAATCATATCAGAGAGGATAATGAGAAAAAATGCCAGGTTTTAAGAACACCTTCATCGACCCCTTCCCTCCTTCCCAGGCTCAGCTTTTCTCCTGATTTATCTACCTCCTCCCCCAGCAGCATAGGGGGACAGGAATGGGGGTTGCAGTCAGTTGGTCACACGCTGTTCCGGCCACTCCTTTTTCCTCAGGGAGAGGACTCTTCACACTCTTCCCCTGCTCCAGCGTGGTGTTCCTTCCCACGGGAGACGGGTCTCCACGAACTTCTCTGACATGAGTCCCTCCCACAGGCTGCAGTTCTTCACGAACCACTCCAGCGTGGGTCCCTCTTTTTGGCAGCTGCTTTTTCAGCACCAGCCTGAGGTCTTCAATATGAAAACAAACTTACAGGGGCTTGGTATTTTCTCATGCCCTGTAAATTCTTGCCGATCCTCAAAACTTTTCATTTTCTTCACAACATTAGTGTTTTTGGTTTTGTTTTTTTTTTTTTTTTATCCAGTACTATGCAGGCAGCCTCCTGCACTCCTAAGGAGCTCTGTGGGGCTCTGCCAGCTCAGCGGCAGGCATCTCAGCAAAATCAGGAATGATGGTGTGGGCAGAAAGCTTTCTTCAGTCCTTGTCTCCACTGTAGGCACAGAGCTGCTTGTTTGGTAGTCTTTGAAATTAGAGAGGAAAGACATGCAGAAGTCTGGTATTCTGAGAGTGGTGATGGTGCCAGATCTTGGGGGTTGGTGGTGGTGAGTTGGGGTTTTTTGGTTGTTTTTTCTCGTTTGTTTGTTTGGATTGGCAAACTAGTAAGCCCATCTTGCAGTTCCAGAACCAGGTTTCTGAGATTTTAACATATGTGATCTTTTCTGAGAACAGAAATGATGATTTAAAACGTACTAGTTATTCAACAAACCTGGTAACTATAGGAGCAAAGATTTTGCAATATACATACACTTGACTTGCACCTCAGTGTAAAGTCAATATACTACCGTCATCCACTGATCCGTAAGTCTCGCCTATCAGTTGTTCTCCATACATCTTGTTGCTACCTCGCTTGTTGACTTCTTCATTTAGTTTTGTGCCAGTATTAGCTTCATCTGCTGGGATGAAATAATGGATTTGGAGGCAGTGGGGAGGTGTTATACCAAATGCATCACCCTGCCACTCCTTGGTGGCAGTGAGAAGCAGACCAGCTGGCATCGTTCAAGGGAGGCTCTTGGGGACTTCTGCTTCATGGCGGGGCAGGGCTGGGGCCAGAAATAAGGGACTCACACAACCTTTACTGAGATTATTATTTAATGAATAAGGCAGGTTTTAAGTTCTTTGGGGTCTGGATCACCCTTCTCCTCTGTACTTGTACAGGGTGTTAATTTCCGATAGGAATTTACAGGAGCTGCTGGGATACAAATAAACAGCAATATCTGATTCTTCTAGCCCTCTCCTCCTTCCTTTTTTCCACTCTTCCTGCGCCTTTGCACAGAGAAGGCCTGAAAGTTTTCTGTGTCAACTTTTTAATTAAATCAAAAGCAACTGTGCTCTTCAAGATGTTTTCAATTCTTACTACTTTTCCATGCAGCTCATCCATATGTGTTTTGATTCAAGGCCCAGAAGCCACCTGCTATTTTCCTTTCAGCCTGTTAAGTAGTTTCCACTAGATGCACCATGCTGTTTCCATGTAGTCTTTAAGACCTCCTCAATCAAAACGGAAGGCGTGCTGAGGTTATGGAAAGAGACAGTACTTTCACCACATGATTTTCAAAGCCGCGTCATCAATGTGCCATTTGTTTTTTCTTCGCCATTTTTCTTTCAGAAAAACCATCCACAATGCTGTTCCCTGCTTGAGGTTCCTAATACGAATATCGAAGAACGACCTCCTGAGAGGCTCCATAAATGAATCGTCCTTCAGGACCTCTCTCTCCAGCCATCAGTCTCTCACTGGCAGGACCAAGAGCACTTGCGTTTCGTCAGTTTCCACTGGAGAAGTTGTAAGTCTTTTCTTGTTTCCATGAAGAAGAGTGAGTATAATGTTTCTCTGACTCCCAAGATAAGTGTCTCTATAAATACATATTGAAAATTAGAGAGTGAAAAAGAGAGGGGAGGTAGCTAAATTTTTGGGGGTCATGCGAGGTCGTTTCTGCAAAACCTTTCTGGGACATCATGCACGATGATGTCTGATCAGAAAAAGCATCTGGACCAGCATATCTGCATGATTCAGATGCTTATTGGAACATGAATGTTCAGGTTAAGTCTTTAATGTGAACTAAAAAGAGCCATTGTCAGGCATTTCCTATGTGCTGTATATAATACCCACCCTTTGCTACATAATTCAGTTTCTGGTGGAGCCTGGATGACAGGAAAACAGTCTCCCATCCAGAGTTTTCTAACCTATCCAAAGCTGTCTTATTATTCCAAAAGGAAGTCCATTTTCTGTAAGACAGGAGAGTTTTTGATTTGTTTCCGTGGATTTTAACCATGAGGAGTGGAAGACTCCTGCACCTGGAGTGAGGTGGGGTGTTTTGTAAGCAACATACCCCAAGTCTCGGTAAGGCTGGTGGTCGGACTGACGCATAGTGTGAAGAAGCACTTGCCTACAGCATGGAGTCTTTTCCTAGGGAAAGGTCACAGGTTAGAAACTGGGGACATGTAACCTACCGGTTTGTGTTATGTTCGAGGTGAAAAAAGGTGAAGTGAGCCCTTTCTCTCCTTCCCAACCAAGCAGAATTAAATGGAAATCAGGTCTCATGGCAGTAGGATTGAGGGAGTCAGAAATAAAAAAATCCCTTGGGACTCTTCACAGCCCCTCTCGGCATGACCTCGCCTGCTCTCTAAGTCACAAGAAGCCAGCGTTGCCTGCAGAGGTGCGGGGAAGGCAGCTCCTGGGGCAGGGATGGCAGGATGGCAGGGGCTGGACTGGGGCTGGCCCTCCTGGGGACAGCT